ACTCTGTAATATTTATTGAAACAAAATTTCACTGGAGGAAAAAGTACCAAAAAGTAGAAAACGGGAATTTTAATTTATTCAAACAATTTGAGCCAATTTTTATAAAATTAAAAAAATAGTTAATTTACTCAAACAAAATAAGCTATTGGTATATTATTTTAAAATTCGGGTACTAAAGTATATATTTTTTTGTGGAACAAATGAATGCAGATTTGAATCGTTTGAGTTTTATCTGTGATATATGATTTAAACACGATATTTTGTAAACTTAATTCTAGAAAAAGCCTATTCCTGGACAAAAATGGGAAAATGGTACTCTTTTTATTAGTATGATACCTTTTGGATTCTCTATAATGGGGAACCGGAACACATGACACTGTGTGGAAGCTAAACGAATGCAAATAAAAATACACACTCCTTACTGAATGCGAATTTATTCACGTAATAAATTTCGATAATATTGAATATAAAAAACAGAAACACTAAAAATATATTAAATCAATTAAAATTTTCTATAATATAATAAAAATTATGTATCTATGTATTTAATTTTGGTTAGGGTAGCGAAGCATCCGGGGTATTCTAGTGTATACATATATGTTTGTATACATGTCATCATTTTAATGATTTAGTTGAAATTGACTTAACCCAACTCGATGTTATACATACATATTTCGAGCAAATTTTTATACATATTTATATCACACTAACTATACATAGTAGTTGCACATCCCACCACAACACATACTCATAAAGGATGAGGCCCGGAAATCTGGGAATTCCCGAAAATCCCGAAGTTTAAGTGTTTTTCCGCTAAATTTATACATTATAAAATATTAAATAAGAGAATTTTAATAGGTTTTGATTAAAAAATAAGCAGGGTCATAAAATTTTAAACATTTCGGCCTCTTTTTAAATCGAATTACATTATTCATTAAGTAATTTTTTAGACTTAAGATGACTCTACTAACTTACAAGTTGAAATATCAAAAATAAAAAGGACAATAAATAGGCATAGATACTATCGGATACCTAAAAAGAGGCCCGAAATTCAACAGGGTCTTCAAGGCTAGTATAAAACTTAGTTGAGCCGTTTTTTGTCGAGATACGAGTATATTAAACATACTTATGAGCTCAAAAGCCATACAATTTATCAGAATCTATACTGGCAGTTAACCTGTTAATAAGATGGCGAGATGATAATTCCCTTATTTGGGTAAGATGACAAGGGATATAACTGGAAATAATATTGCTGATACCTTGGCAAAAGCTGGAACTACGATGGCTATACTTGATATAGACCAGTTCTGTAGTGTTTACGGCCATTAAAAACCATATATCCGATATTTAGCTCAAGACGGTTGGTCACATGAGTACACTTGCTCAATTGCTAAGGTGCTGTAGCCTCGTATGGATCCTCATAAAACATACTACCTAAATTGTAGGTTTCAACACATTGTAAATTTGGAAACCATGCAAAACGCATGGGTCTTCAGGTAGGTTCTTATTGTACTATTCAGTACCTGGGATGGAAATTTTATGAATTGATATTGAAAAATTGAACGAGTATACCCTTGTACCGCTGTATCTAGAAAGTACTGTATTATTTTTAGTACTTTGAATTAGTTTGTTTTCCAAAAATTTCACAAAATACTTATGGGAAAGCTTTCTGTATTAGTAAACACATATTAAGTGTATTCATATTGTAATATGAAATAGAAAATGTTAATTTTGTCGGCAATTTATTAAGATTTTTTAAAAATTTATTCGGGATTTCTAAATCCCGAAAAATATAAATAAAATTTAAAAATCTGTCCCGAATGGCATCCTTAATCAGAACTAATCAATTTAAAACCTGGTTACTTGATTCATATACACAAATGGATTCTCTACTGTGGATCAACAGTTCTGAGACACAGAGCTTATGAGAAACAATATAAATAAATATAATTAGACTTCAGTTGTTTATAAGATCTGTTTATGTACCTGCCCGAAAATTGTACTTTCATAAACATCCTTTCAGAAACATGTGTGTAAAAGTTCAGTGAACTTTTTCATTTGAGAGAAAAATTCTGTATAAAACAAACAAAAATGAAAAAACTAAAACTGTTTTAAATATATTTTTTTTTACAATTTACGCCAAACGTTATAAACAATTTAAAGTATATTGAACTGAAATCGTTAAATGAAATGTTATACATATATTTTAATTTATTATACAATAATTCTACGATAAATTAAAATTTTAATAGTTCATTTCATAAATGACCACTAATAATTATTTAATGAGCTATTAAAAGAAAAACACGCCAATATTAAAATATGTATTTATACTTGATTGGTTGTGTGAGTTGCGATATTTTCACATTTTAAATGTCAAAAAAACTATTTGAAACGTGTTTGGATTTGGTTTTTTACAAATGAACTAGTTCAACCAGCCGCCTTGTCGTACTGTTGTAAACTGTGAATTGTATTATTACTGTATATGAATATTTAAGATTTTCACAGAGATCATGCCAAAATGCATGGCAGAAAGTAAATACTGTATAAGTATAGCAAAATATATGTATTTCACACTTGAAAAATAATAGTGAGCACGATCGAAGCCATTAGCCTAATTGAAAATTCAAGGTTGAGAAAATATATGCAAAAAAATAAAAAAAAAAAATGAATTTTACATAAACACGAAAACAAATTTTGATTAATTTTCCTATGACTAAATAAATAAATAAAATAGAAGAAAAACTTCATTAATGAATAAACGTGCTCAAAGTGAAATTGAAATTAGTAGTTTATGAAAGTAAAAATAGGTTCTATAACTTTTTTAAATACATGCTATTTCTTCAAGATATACTATAAAATTTTATGTAGCATTATTATACACGATAAATTCTAAGAGACAGATAAATGTTCATTAGTATCGATTCCAATGTCAATTTATCCTCTATACGATGCTCCCAGGTCAAGGTTATTATTAAGCTTTCGCAGGGACCAGATAAGAATGCTGGTATCAGTCATAACGGGACAATGTACAATCGATCGGGTCACGAATATAACGAATACTGTAGTAGTTGTAATAATGAGGAGGATCAGGAAACAATACCTCACCTCAGGTACGGCAAATAGAATTTTCAAATTGTACAAAATAGCATTTAAAAGTGTATTTTTTTGAATCCGATTGTACCAAATCTATATTTTTGGAAATTTATATTAATATAAAACAAAATCATTTCAAGCCGACTTCTTCAGTCATTTAGAACTAATCAATATTTGTATGTATCAATAAGTAAGTTCATTAGTCAATGTACCAGTCCATTGACTAGGCAATAGGCTATTCTATAGAATAGACGGAAGATTAGTCTATAACTAGACAATAAACTAGTATATAGAACTTTTTTATACCAGTCCAAAAACTTCAAAGAATAGTCCTTGAAATACTTCAAAGGTCTAGTTAAATGTACTTTAATACTATAGATTAGTCATTAGACTAGTCAATGAATAAGACCATTTAGTCAATACACTTGTTCTTAGACTAGTCAATAGACAGTCTATTGTATTTTGAAATTGTACAAAATAGGTCATTGGTTTACAATTGTACTTTTGAAGATCGAATTGTACCAAAAAAATTACAATTGTACCAATTCTGCTAACTCTGACTCACCTCCTCTGCTATTGCCCATCATTCAATGAAAGAAGAGAACATTATTTTGGCTTTGCAGCTCTATCTTGTTTGGATGACCTGACTGGGAATGCCTTAAAAATATCCTAAACTTTGTGAATCAAACCGGTTGGTTTAAATCTGGAAGTTGTGAGTAACATTGAAATGGACTCCTACAACATCACAACGGCACCGCAAATGGGTGGACCCATGTGAGCCATTCATGATAGATTGAGAGGCTACCCTTCTAAATCTAAATCTACACCCCAAATTCCTTAAAAATTATTATATTGAGATAAAGGGCCCGATTCAAAGGCCCCAAATCTCCAAAATATAGTCACCAAATGGTTTTGTATAGCTATATTTAGAATAGATCTTCGATTATGTTTTAACGCTGATATTTCAGCGCTATTGATTCTTTACAAGGGTTTCTAAGCGGGAAATATTTCCCGCGATGTCTGATATACTTTGCATTTTAATTAGGAACTATTAGTATCCAGAATAGTTATACATATGTATATACTTTACTGGGTGTATGACCCTATCTTTTTGACGATACCTTCAAAAACTAATATATGGGCAATTTCGTATCAAAAAAGCTTCTTTGGACAATTTTTGCTAAGGCCAATAGGTGAAAAGTTACACTCATTTGAAAAAAATACCCTGTATGACCAAAATGTCCAACTCCGCCAGTTCTTGACCGCTATAGCTGAAAGTATGTGTCAGACCTACTATCCAATAGTACTAACCTTGCTACAAATTTCATCTAAATCGGAAGACATCGATTTTAAAAGTTGGGTCACATGACACGAAATTACCCTTATATACATACATACATATGTACATACATATGTATCTTTTTGGCAGTACTTTCAATTTTCTTATTAAATAAACAACAATTTGAGTGGCCATAATAACAATATTTGTTTTTTTTTTTTCATTATAAACATAACTAAATTTATGTTAAAAATAAAATTTCAATATCATATTACATATTTTTCCATTAAATATTCTAATTTGCAAATTTAAAAAAAATCTCTACATTGTTTGTTGACCAATTTTTGAATAATCACATGTTTATTGGATTTTAAAATAAAAAGTATGCGTCCATTTGTCTATTAAACGCCAATTAAAATTCCTTAATAAAATATGTGTACATACAAATTTACGCGATTTACGTACATACGGTCTAATATTGCTATTGTTTACTCTTACATACATACATATATTCATATAAAAATATTTTTAATGTTTGAAAAAAAAAACATTATTTATTATTTTTAATATTTATTATTTTTTGTTTTTGCTAAAAATTCTAATTTTTTCTTTTGAATATTTTTAGGAACTGGAACATTTGGACGAGTATGTCTGTGTCGTGATCGTGTGTCAGAGAAATATTGTGCCATGAAACTTTTAGCGATGGCTGATGTAATTCGCTTAAAACAAGTCGAACATGTGAAGAATGAACGCAATATATTGCGTGAAATTAGACATCCCTTTGTTATTAGTTTGTAAGTACTTTTTCTGAAAATATTGACTTTTTTATATAACTTTTAAAACGTTCTCCTAAAAAGTGCTTTTACACTGACATGCAAAAAAATATAGGAAAAAGGGCCAACAACTCTCTTATGTTAGCTTGGACTTCTACTTTGGAAGTCCAACTCTATTGATTTACTAGATCACCATCGCTACGATGGGTGTATTTTAATGTTCTTGCTCTAACATTAGTGAACTTGTCCCCGATACAAACCCGTAACACTCCAATTAGTTTTTCCCCTGCCGTACCATCTGTATGTGGAACAAACTTCCTACAGAAGTAGTAATCGTCACATTCGTTGTAAAAAGATTTAAATCAATGGTCCGGTTATTACAAAATTTGATAGAATGATTTCCGGGAGAATACTTATATGGCGATTGCTAGAATCTTTAGCGTGTTTGGCTATAAAAACGGTGTGTCAGGCACTGTAGAGGATCCGAAAATCACTCCACTGCTCATAGAACTCGGAATTAGTACAGTTCTACACGCTCTACTATACATTTTAGAATTTGCCTTTGAGACCTATTTTCTCAATGTATGGATATTTATACCCTACACCACTTAGGTGAGGAGGGTATATTGGGTTTGTGCTGATGTTTGCAACACACAAGAATATTGGTCCTATACCCACCTTAAAGTATACCAATCGGCTTAGAATCATTTTCTGAGTCGATTGGTCCGTCCGTCCATGTAAACCTTGTAATAAAACTACAGGTCTTAATTTCGCAATTCAATGAAATTTGATACATGATCTTCTATTGTCTCCAGGACGAAGCCTATTGAAAATGGTTAAAATCGGTCCATTATTTCACCTAGCCCCCATACAACCGAACCCCTGAATAGGGCTTGTAAACCTTGTAATCAAACTACAGGTCGCAATTTTGATGATAATTCAATGAAATTTGGCACATGATCCTTTATGGTACCGGAGACGAAGCCTATTGAAAATGGTTAACATCGGTCCATTATTTCACCTAGCCCCCATACAACTGAACTCCTGAATAGGGCTTGTAAACCTTGTAATCAAACTACAGGTCGCTGCAAAACCAAGTTCTAGCCATTATGAATCTCATGAATTTTATAATTATAGGGTCTCATTTCATCATAGCCCCTATACAAAGCCCCCTTCAATGTTTGGACTCTACCTGCATGTCAGGAACTATAGGCTACTTTTTACTTCAAAATGTCAAGTGGGCGAGGTGCCACGCCCTCTTATAAAAGATGTATTAAAAGTCGCATATCTTAGAAACTACAAGAGCTAGAGTTTTTGTATGTACAACTTTGACATCCATATGAATACATGGGAGTAAATTTGTTAGCTTAGCTACAGTGGGCGTGACAACATGAATGTTAAGGACAAAAAATGGGCGGACTAGAATTGAAATTAAATAATAAAATTCGTTTACCTGGGAAACTATTGGATATAGAATCTTTAAATTTTGCACAAAGACCTTTAACATATATATAAATATTTAGGAGAATAATGGGCGGAGTTTCAGAAAGAGGCCTTTCTACCTCCCATACGGATTGAATATAAAATTGTGTATAGCTCAGAAACTATTAGAGTTAAAATTTTAAAAATTTTGTATGAACTACTTTGACATCCATGTGAACATTTGGGTAATTAATTAGCGGACTGGATTTTAGGTGCGTGGTAACACCTATGTAAATAAATTTTATTTATTTTGACTTTAGGGTAGCAAAGCACACTGGGTATAGCTAGTTTACTATAAAGCATAACTAGAGAATAGTATAATAGGTCATATTTATAATTCCTTTAAATTAAACATTTTTTCTTTTTTCCAGAGAATGGTCAACAAAAGATGACTGTTGTTTATACATGATCTTTGAATACGTCTGTGGTGGTGAATTATTCACATATTTAAGAAATGCTGGTAGATTTAGTAGGTCATCAGGTAAGTTATATTGAAAACATGAGATAAAATTTCCCAAAATAATTCTCATTAAATATTTCTTTTTATTTTAGCAAATTTTTATGCAGCTGAAATTGTTTTGGCTTTAGAATATTTACATTCTCTACAGATCGTTTATAGAGATTTGAAACCCGAAAATTTATTAATCAATCGTGATGGCCATTTAAAAATTACAGATTTTGGTTTTGCAAAAAAACTAAGAGATCGTACCTGGACACTGTGTGGAACTCCCGAATATTTAGCACCTGAAATTATACAATCCAAAGGTCATAACAGAGCAGTGGACTGGTGGGCTTTAGGTAAAATTTTTCTATTTAAAAACTTGTTATCTTAATTGACAATAAAATTGTTTCCTGGTTTAGGTATTCTTATTTATGAAATGCTGGTGGGCTATCCTCCATTTTATGATGAAAATCCATTTGGTATTTATGAAAAGATTCTGGGTGGTAAAATTGAATGGCCCCGTCACATGGATCCTATAGCGAAAGACTTAGTTAAGAAATTATTAACGAATGATCGTACAAAACGTTTGGGCAATATGAAGGTGAGTAAAACAAATGTTAGTATTTCTTCGAAATAGAAATAAAATATTTGCTTTCATCTCAAAATTTTATCTAAAAAAATTTAAGTGTCATCGCACTACAAATTTCCCAATGTCATCACCTGTGATCACAACTACATATATAAAACGATGTTTAAAATCTGTCTGATTATCATAAATCTTAGTTAAACATAAAAGAAATAGCAATAAATTTTATGACATTATCAAAAAAGAACAAAAAAAAAAAACGATAATCAAATCATTAACACTAAATTAAATATTAAATCATTTTCAAAAATAACGACATTTCTAAAATTAATCAACTCATATTTGGACCAAATTCATAAATAGAAACCGAAATACAAATTATGAAAATATATGTACATTGTACATATAAAAATAAAATACATTTTAATTGTAAAAATTGTAGTAAATCTTTACGAAAATGTACCATTTGAATGGTGTTCACAGCACACACCCCGTCTAGAAATGGGTGTAAACATGATTTGAGAACGTGTGCAATCGGAAAATGTTTTTGAAAAAAATATTTTCCTATTTATATGGCGGTTTTGCAAATAAAACAAACAGAAAACATACGTACGAAATACATGCAGACGTATTTTTAATTTAAATAAAATTAAATAAAATAGAATAAAATATGAAATATCAACGCCAAATGGACGCAAACAAACGATATAAAAATTCAAAAAAAAAAAAGTTTTCCTCTTCTTTCTTTGCTCGTATGGATACAGGCCCATACAAGACTTATTTCAAGTCTTTCAAATTATAAAATGGCATATGGCAAAAGAAACAACATAACAAAAATTCTTAATTGCTATTAAAATTTTGAATTGAAATTGAATGTATTTTAAAAGGAAGGAAAAATACAAGATTTATGTTTTTTAGTTTCTAAAAATTTTTAAATGTTTTTAAATTTATTGGTTGTTTTTAAAAATATTGAATATAAATTTTATATTGAAATTACAGTAGGTGACATAAGAATATGTACATGAATCCTTTATGCCAGGGAAATATTTTTGAGCTGAATTTCAGAAAAAAGATTTTTTTGGTTCTTAGACCAGCACTCAGGGTGTGACCCCTATTCATGCAGTGCATTTTGCTGGAACTAGGAAAATAGGTTGTGGGAGGGAGGATAGAGGGTGTAGTGTTTGTGGACATTTGATTTAAACCTTCTGCAGGAAGTTTGTTTCACAATAAAGACCACTACCAGTCTCTTTATGCAATTCTGTCAAATATTCGGTTATTCATATACTAAGAGTAAATTAAATGCTTAAGTCTGACAATGTCCCTCGAGGAGTGTTTAAAATCGAGTCTTTGACATGTTATAGGAGCTTAAGTATAATACTTGCCATCTAAATAGTATTACCAAAGGACCACGATCCTGATCCATTATATCATATTAATAGTGGGTGGATGATACCTTTTAGTTTCGTCAATAGAATTTTATTTTTTTATAACCACCATTAAACAGACAGACACCATACCTAATCACTCGAAATATAACTTCTACTACCTCTCTGGTATTAATGGATTAAATCCTAAGGTCTCTTCAAGATCAAAAACAGCACAGGCCGATAAATTTTTAACCCAATGTTACCTCGAAAAAGTAAGCATTTATTTTAAAACTGACTGAATGGACTTTCAGATAACATACAAAATTTTATAAATAAAGTTGTCTTTACGTTGTTATAACCTCTCAAAAAGGGCGACTTAGATAACTAATCTCTATTTCCCAAATAATTTATCCTATTCCGGCGGGCGCTAAGAGGAACCATTGCCATATTAATAGATAATCATTCAGCAGTCTCTTTATGCAATTCTGTCAAATATTCAGTTATTCATATAAGAGTAAATCAAAATGCTTAAGTCTGACATTATATTGTGATTTTCTTTATTCTTAATGTTTATGCCCCTTGAGGAGTGTACTAAATCGAGCCTTTGACATGTTATAGGAGCTTAAGTATAATACTTGCCATATAATTATTATTACCAAAAGACCACAATCCTGATCCATTTTCTCATATTAAGAGTGGGCGGATGGTACCTTTTATAAACACTATTATCTAGACAGACACCATAACCACTCGAACTAATACTTCTACTACCTCTCTGGTGTAAAAATAGAACCAGAACTGGCCCCCAAATTTATCCCCAAAGATATATCAAAGAAAGAAGATATATCAGTCTTTGTACGTCTCAAAATGGGGAAAAAATGGCGTTTTTTCAAACTTCAGGACGCGATATCTCGAATCCCAGAAATTATGGAAAAATTTCAGATTGGGATACTGCGCAGCTCAATCCTTTAGAAAGGTAATATAATTTTTTTTTAAATTCTATTGAAGTTTCGATCGCTATCGAGTGCCAGAATTTGATCGCAGGTTACAGTCAGGGTTTTGACTTTTTTCAAAATTTTCAGCTTGTGTAATTAAGATCAATGCGTCACAAGGAAGTGGTTATAAAAATTACCAAGAGCACAGCCCTCAATGTCCTCAACTTGAGTAGATTCCTTAAAAACTATACCAGAGAACCCAAAAATTATCCCCTAGATTATGTCCCAAATCTAACGCCGATATTAAGGTATTATTATCCGATATACAGAAACTCAGATTTTAGGACGTAACTCCTATGAAATTTCCAGTTTGTGTTCGTGAAGAATAATATATCCGGAATAATATCGCTCCCCTGATATTTAGATTTGATTTTGAAGAAAGTTACAAAGAATCCGGTCAAATATTGTATAATTGTGCTCGTAATCCCTAGAACCTCAGACTTTTTCATTTAAAGAAGGCTCTCGTCCTCTTCTGGTTTGGATTACCCCATAGGTTTTTTTCAGATATACACATCGTTTCGCTGTTCTAAGTGTGATTCTCAAGTTCCCTTCCCTTTAAAGCAAGTACATTCGCTCATTCGTTCCCGTTTACTTTCGAGTGGTGATGTGAAGCTTATCTCTGGGTGATTATTCGGTTAATGCTCTCTTAAATACGGTCGTAGCTTTAATCTGATCACCTGATATCGCCATAATTGTCTTCTGGGTATCGGTAAATATGTTAATCCGTTTACACTTTATTATTTCACGGACTTCTACCCAAAATCTAGCGTTGTGATTAGACAGATTGTAGTATATTTCCCTTTCTGTGTTTTAAATGTGCCCCCAGTTTAGAACCATTCGTGTGACAACGTATTCCTACCGGTGTTTGCTCTAATGTTCCGCTTACACATGATATTCCATATGGGATGAGTATGTTAATGCCTTTCCTTCCCTACTCCCTCTTCATTGCCCTAGAAAGCTGTTTCTGGTTATAGATGGCTTAGCTTTGTTATCTGTAGGATTTGGTGTTGTTATTATCATCTGAAGATTCAGAGATGGAATCCTTACCTATATTTAACGTGGTTGCTTAGAGTTCTCTTCGAATACATCCTTCTCTTTTACTCCTACAGTTTTGCCAATATCATACTGTATACTTAAAGGATTGTCACGACCAGATCAACACTTGGCGCCGGTACTGGGTTGTTAAGTCCCAGCTCTGTAACTTAAATAGTATTATTTTCACTTTCCATCTTGTTCAAATCAACCAAATTTTGGTCCGTAGGGAATACAAGATTACCAGGTGTTGGGCAATCTGCCCTCCCTCATCTCCCATAACTGGAAGATGACAGATTGTCCATCACCATACCCTAACTGTCACTCGGGGTGGCGCTCGCTAGAAGAAATTTCAAACTCACGCAAGGTAGTTTGCCAGTTATGGTGCTAATGTTTAACACATCATGTTTTGATGGTAGAAATACAAAGTTTCGATATACATACATCCATAGCTACTTAAAGTTTTTGGCAAAAATTTTGGTCCAAACCTTATTAAAACCATAATTACTAATATAAGATGTTTTCATTTTCAATTAACTGACAAGTTTTCAATATTTTCATTTCATCTATATCGTTTCAGAATGGGGCTGATGACGTTAAAAGGCATCGATGGTTTAAAGATTTAAATTGGAATGACGTCTATAACAAAAAGCTTAAGGTACGTTAAAAACAAAAAAAAAATAAAAATAATAGATGAAATGTTTAAAAAAATAATAATTTGTTTGCAAAAAAAAAAATATGTTAAGTGGTACGAAATTGATTTTCTTTGCCAATAATTTAAAAACGATATTAACGATAGATTTTTTGTCGATTATTAAGTTATTAAAAAGTAATCGAATTGCTTAAAACATGCAAAAAAAGAGCAATAAATATTATATTCTAATTATATGCAAATTTTCTTATTTATTTTGAAATTTTTTTTTCTTCTAGTTCTAAAACGTGTTTTCATTGTTTTGATTATTATTATTATTTTATAAATTTTATTTTTTGGGTATTTTCAGGTTCATACGTGAAACTACCTACGCTAATTTTTCCTTTCTTTTTTTTTTTTTTGGCAAATTAAGTTTTTTGTATGCTTCATGCAAAATATATATATATATATATATATAATAAATTTGCTGTGTATATTTAAGAAAACAAAATAAAAATGTGAAATTAGGTAAAAATGAGCAAAATGAAATATTGCTAAAATATAAAATTTTTATATATTTTCAAATTATTCACACAAAAAAAAAGAAAATCAAAAAAGCAATGATACATTATATATTAATGAAAGTTTGTGAACTGTGTGTGCATAGAATTATAAACAAATTCACATTTTGATTATGGTCATAAATTAATTGAAAACAATTTAATTTGTTAACAATCTAGGTATCGATATAGAAATAAATTCGTATACACAACTTAAGTTAGAATGTTTTCGTTTGTAGTTGCAAATTGTATCGTTAAATATTAGATTATTTAACTGCAATCAGCATCGCCATAATCATCAACATCAACCCGGCAGCAGCAATATTTGCCTCAAAAATTATTACCGGTTGTTTTTTATGAGTTATTGTTTAATGCTATTTTTATTATTATTCAGATATAATGGGATCTTTAACATTTGGTGCAATTAATCAAATAATTATTCTAAAAATATTTATGTATTTGTACTTAGACAAAAACAGCAGCACGAACACCATCCATCCATCCATCCATGCAACGATCCATATTTGCAAAATTTATTTAAATTGAGGCAACAAATTATTTCTATGGCGTTACCAGATTTGTTTGTTAACAAATTATTTAAAGATGAAATAATATATAATTCTAATTTTGTTTACATTTACAATATTTATTTTTATTTACATTACACATATTTCAACTTACAAAACAAACATGTATTATTCGAATAGTAAAAGAAAATCTGTTGAAAATTAATGGGGCTATTTTGAATTTTTATTTGGCAGATGTAACATTATTTTAAAACATTTTTAATGATCCTTCTAATTTTAAAATAGACATATACATGTTCATTTTATATAAAAATTTACATGGCTGTTTTTGGCATTATAAGTTTAATTTAATATTTGTGATTTTTCGCATATTATTTCTATAGATATAGTCTGGCTAGCATTGTAGTGTCATCAAGTGTTCTCCAGAATTTTCGAAAATTTTATTTTTATTTTTTATGACCCAGATATTATTTTAAGAGCATAAACATTTTTTCGAACATAACTTCGAATTTTCGAATATAATTTCGAATATTCGGACATAATATTGTATTGTCATTAGCTGAACTCAGAACCGCCAAATTTCAGCAAATTCTGGCTACCGGAATTGGTTTTAAAACAATTTTCCCCAATTTATTCGTCGTTCGTCTGCGTAAGAAATAGAAATAAACCTATCGTATAGTTCGTTACGTACGACGAATTTCGTCATTCGCAATGATTGTGTACATTTTCATATACCCAAGTGTGTTCTATATCTGACGACGAATATTCGTTCCGAAAAATTCGTCGTTCGTCCCAATTGTGTGTATACTATTAGACCGAATTTCTATTTTTTCTTAAACAAGGCTTTTAAATTTGCATCTAACAGTTTTCAAAATTTGAAAAATTGTTCTGCCTTTTTATTTTAATGAAAAACTTTACCAAATCCAAAGAAATATACCTAGGCTACTATCGAACCTGTTGTGAGCTTCTTCTTTTGGAAAATGTTAATAAAAACCAAAATACTATGAAGTATTCACTGAATGTATTATCGTCTGATGTCCAGTACGTAATACCTAAGAATTTTCCAATCAGGGTTCGTGAAGGGATGTTATATCCGGAATAATTACACCCCTTGCATTAGATAGAGAGCCCTAAGCACTACGACTCTGTTTAGGATCTTTTGTGCAGCCCATGGGTTCACCATAACAGATTTAATTCATGTATGAAAATAACAGGTTTGATTGGTAAGAAGTTGAATATATCCTTCGGGACTAGTGTTTCAACACCTAAGATTCTTTCTCAACGAGTCCTTAGTGTTGGACATTTGCACAATATGTGTTCTAAGGTTTCCTCCTGACAGCCACAAAATCTTCATAGCTTCGATATGGCGTTTCCTAAGTTGAATTGATGATATCTGAGACCACAGTGCCCCGTTAGTATTCTGAGATCACTTTTGTTAATCGATAATAACTTTTGGGATTTTCCTCTTGCTAGCTTGTTAAGCGCTTTGTCTGTCTAAGCCCTGTTGTTGCTTTCCAGTGGCGAGCAAATTCCAATTTGACCCCCGATACGCGCCCAAAATATTTAGATATAATTTCGGTGAAAGCCTGAAAATGGCAAAGAAAATGCTCAATAGTTTCACGGTCCCACACTACATCCTCTATATTCGTCTGTATCAATTTTGCATAGCTGTGCCCGTAATACTTGTTTCTGGTCCTGCTCTCGTTAGGGTCATATTATCTTTGTTCGACCACCCGTTCTTACCAATATTCCAATATTCCAAGAGGCCTTATGGGTTTCACTGCCAATTTAAAGCCATCCGTGTAGCAACGGATTCCTAATCTTCCGCTTGACCAAAACATTCTATCTGGTATCAGCGTTTCTGTGTCTGGTATGCGATCACACACGTCCGATGATTGTGTATAGTCTTTCAATGCGTGCAGTTTACATTAATGACGTGTACTATAACCGCTTTATATCAGTTCGCCTAAAGTTATGAGCCGTTCGGTTGTAAGTGCCGCCTCATATCTTAAATATGTTTCAATGGGTGTAATATCTAGACGTTTTCTGGGCCAAGCAGCGTGTACGCTAAACTCCATTTAGTAGTTTGTCCAAAGAAGTCCATCATATTATTGAAGCATAACCTAGAATTGGTCTAGTTACACTTTTAAGAGGTCAGGATTTTTAATCGCTGATGGTGAACTGAGAACTATTCCAAAAACATTATATTTAATTTTTCTCGTATTCAGTATATTAATACGCAGTATTTAAGAGTTATTCCTACATGAGATTTTTCAATAGTAAACCGACTTTTGAAAAAAGTCGGTTTAGACCCGATACTACTGATTCAAAAAGCTGAAATGATGTATTTAGGCATTAACAATGAATAATCAATGAATATTCATCATATGTATATACAATGTACATTGTACATAGGTATATAATCTAAATAGGGAATTAAAAATTCGTTGTAATTCAAATTGTTATAAATTGACATATAATTTTTTTTCTATTACATCCCATAAAGATCGTATAAAGTTCTTTGTAAACATTTTTATATGGGTAATTAATTTCAGTTTTATAGTCTTTATAGTTTTTTATTTTCTCAAAAATTCTTACAACACGCCACTGAGCAGAGTTTCTCAAACTTTTTGTACTTTTTTGAATAAACATTTTTCAAAATGAAATGTAAATTCAGGAAAATCCGTATGTTTAAGAAAATTGTTTTTTTTTCTATTAATAATTCAAAAAAACAAAATTTTTAATAATTTGTTCTTTTGTTTTTCTTTCGCCCACAGCCACCCATTATTCCCGAAGTACAATATGATGGCGATACCAGCAATTTTGATGATTATCCCGAAAGTGATTGGAAACCCGCCAGGGCAGTAGACCAAAGTGATTTACAATTATTTAAAGATTTCTAATTAGTCTAAATATTAATTTGCATTAATTTATTTATTTATTAATTTTAATATAAGTCTGTATTTATGATAAATTGAAGAAGAAAAAAAAAAAACAAAGCATGAGAAAAAAATAATAATAAAACAAAATTTAAAAAGAAAACCAAATTATATAACATTATAAACAAAGATGCTATATCCAATAAATATTTATTAAAAATAAATTTCAATTGTTTATTAAATTAAATAAATGAAATGTTGAAAATTTGTTATCACATACAATTAGCCATCAAATGAGTTAATGTTGAGAATGTGTACATACTACTTATGTATGACGGGAAGAACTCTACATGATATTAGACTATGGATAAAAATTATTAATATACTATAATAAAAAGATATGGGTTGCCAAAAGATTTATAAAGTTTAGGCATGCATACACTTATTGAATAAATCCCTTTTTCCTGAATTTCAATCGAAATTTCTTTCAAATGACATAACTACAAAATCGCTTAAAAACGACAACTTTTTCCTCTCCTTTCTTAAAGTCTTTACTAAAACGGGGGTATGTTGAAATGTGTAAAGCAATATACTTATATGATTCCCTCTAACTCCCACTGGACAATAAGGCGTCAATAACAGCTGGTCGCCAATAGACCATGTTGTGTGCCGTAGTCTTTGGAAAAGCCTAGGGTGTTTATTTCGGATTTCGGTGAATGTTGACAAGTATTACTTAGATTACCAGCATGTCAACCTGAATGATATAAGGCATTTCTTCTTAATAATTGCTTGGCGTTTCTATATATAGTACATATATGTACAAACCACTGCCACTTGCGTTTATGTACTACAGTAGCTGTGAATATTAGATCAACTTGCTATATCAGATCCTTATTTCCGATGGTTCTAGGTAAAACACTAAGTTCCTTGGTTCCGAAAGTTTGGTTTCCTATTTGCACAATCATAAAGAAGCATTTACTGAACGTTTACTTTGAAAATTTTGAAATTAATGTAAAGAATAAATTTGCCTCTTTGTCATATCTCCAATTCTTAAATGTCCAGATACATTGACAAGTATGTATTTCCAGGAATTCCGTTTTAATGTTGCTTATCTTGTCAGTTGATTTTACAACAAACTCTTTGCTTTTGATCTCTATTGAACTTGAAATATCTTGACAATATACTATATAATCACCATAGAAGGGTGAGGAAGTCTTCCTTTGTTAAGAACGAAGAATGTGGCATGATCATAACTTCCCTTAGTCAGAAATATATGCAAATTTGTTAGTTTTTCTATAACGCTTTCTCAAAATCTATACAAAATAGGTGGATCTCGGAAGAGGTAGAGCATTAATGGGATCTACAGCCATTCTTTGCATGCACAGTTATGCAGAGAAGCATTAAGTTTCCCAAGTTTCGTTATTAAGAGACAATCCAATATGTTGAAAAACAGTTCCTTCGATTATAATTTTTCTGATAATACGAAAATAAATAATATGATCATCGTTGTTATTTCGGGTATTAAGTCCATGTTTGCCCTTTAAGTGTTCCAATGATTCATTATCAAAGCCATTCTTAGCATCCAGGTATTAACAATTACAATATCATCACGAGTCACTTGTGTCTGTCCGACACTGCTATCCAGTCAATTAGGATTTTATTTTTATATCCACCATCAAAAAAGATGGGGGTATATTGATTTTGTCATTCCGTTTATAACACATCGAAATATTGATCATAGACCCACAAAAATATATTTTTTATGGGTCCTATTAAATTCTAAAACGATCTAGCCATATCTGTCTGTCCGTCCTTCTGTCTGTCTGTTAAAAGCACGATTGAGGCCGAATGGAAAATGGGCAATATCGGTCTACATTTTTTCATAGCCCCCATATAATTGGCTCCCCGAAAAACAGCTTTAACAGTCATAACTGTTTTAAAAATGTGAGTATAGCGATGAAATTCGACATAAATAAGTTTCATATGAACCAAATTCACTCTACCAAATTTTATGTGGATCGGTCCATAAATTACACTACGCCTCATATATGGTCCCCTCCAAACAATGACGTTAACGCTCATTACTGGCTTAAAAATACGTGTCTAGGGCTGAAATTCGATATATGTTTCTCACGATCAAAAATCTATCTACCTAATAATACCGACATAAGCTAGTTTGTTATGAGTTAAAATCTCTCTACCAAATTTTATGAGAATCCATCCATAATTGATCTTGCCACCCATATAAGGCCCCCTTCAGAATATGACTTTAACGCACATTTCTGGCTTAAAAATGCGAGTACTTATAATTATAATTGACCCCGATTGACCGCCCATATACATATGTCCATGGTATAAAATTTGGACAAATATAATTTGTTTTTAAAAATTAATATTTTGGTAATCCGATAGGGATGTGTCCATAATTGACTTAAGCCCTATTTCAAATATCAACCTAATGTTTTTAGGGGAACGTTCCATTTACGTCATATGGTTTGATGGTGGGTATAAAAGATTCGGCATAGTCGAATATAACACTCTTATTTGTTCTTTTTTTTTCAAAGTAGTCTGTAATTTTTACGTTGTGAAGCGATTTTTCAGATTTTCAATAACAAACAGTACTGAATGGTTTACGTGCTAGTTCACTACACGCGAAGAGTCGAAGAGACTCCGTTTTGACCGCACCACTCCACTCGTCAGATATAGTATTTATAGTATTAGATCCAGCCTGTTGCTGTGAGAAATCTGAGGATATCATTGAGCCTAGACTCAGATATCTCACCAAGGTTAGATATGAAGTAACCTTGGTGAAGCAAGGAAGCGGTTTCTCTTTACGGCTAAAGCAAGGCATTTACAGAGGAGATGGAAGACCGTTTCTTTCTTTTCCCTGTCTTTGCAACTCATTGAAAGGGAGCCCAAGCCGACTTGCATGTCTGCCTATTACCCAGTGTCCTGTTATTACTGCTATCAGCCTCGATATGTCCCGCCTACTTCGGTTTATAAGGTGTCTTGTGCGTTTCTCATTGAAGGAGGACCACAATAACTTTGCCCCTTTACATGTGTCTAGAATATTCCACCAATTTTCAGCCTTTTGAAGAAAGAATCTGAGGATATTGCTCTTGAAAAATCTTAACGGAGTTGCTACTTACTGAAACGGCGTTGGAAATGTCAAGAGCAGATCTTGTTCTGGCAAGCTCATCTCATTCATTACCATAGTAGTCCCTTCTTGCATTGCCTATGTTACCGCGAATATTGAGGTCACGTAATATCCTACAGGCTGAAATTATTGCAAATATTTCAGCCTGAAAGACAATACAGTTGTTGGGAAGACGGTGGGATATACTTACCCCAACTTCTTCACAGAAGACAACAGAATGAACACCACAGTTCATTTTAGAAGCATAAAGATTCTGGTGGTATATTCTCTCGGTAGGTTACCTCTACACCACTCGCTCCTGGAAGGAACTTTGACTTTGAATACTCTATCAAAGTCCGTGTGTGGGGTAATATAGTCGGATGGTTGGTTCACGATTGGAGGTAACAAGCTTAGCGTGTCCATATGTTCTTGATCTCCACCTTCCGGATGAGTTAAGCCTTACTGCGCTACAAGCAGATATGGCCATTATATGTAGATCTATAGGTAGGATGTGCAATATACTGTTCAGAGCTTCTGAAGGAGTAGTTCTTAGAGCACCTGTTATCCCAATGCATGCTGGTTTCTGAACTTTGTATAGCTTATCTACAACAGACTTCTTCTTAGTTGAAGTCCACCACACAAGAGATCCGTATGTAAGAATAGGACGTACTATAGCTGTGTACATCCAATTGGGACGAACAACGAATTTTTCCGAACGAAGATTCGTCGTCAGAAATAGAACACACATGGGTATATGAAAATGTACACAATTATTGCGTATGACGAAATTCGTCGTACGTAACGAACTATGCGATAGGTTTATTTCTATTTCTTACGCAGACGAACGACGAATTAATTGGGGAAAATTGTTTTAAAACAAATTCCGGTAGCCCGAATTTGCTGAAATTGGGCGGTTGTGAGTACAGCTAATGACAATACAATATTATGTTTGAATATTCGAAAATTCGAAGTTATGTTCGAAAATTTTTTTATGCTCTTAAAATAATCTCTGGGTCATAAAAACTAAAAATAAAATTTCCGAAAATTCGAACTTAAGTTCGAAAAATTTTTAAAGCTATTAAAACCAATTCTCGTGGCCCGAATTGTCTGAAATTTGGCAGTCTGGAGTACACTTGATGACACTACAATGCTATGTTGGAATATTTAAAATTAAGTTCGAAAATTCGAAGTAATGTTCGAAAAAAATTTTAAGCTATTAAGATAATCTCAAAATTGGGGATATTCACAAAAATATAAATTTAGTTCTTTTCGAGGCCAATTTCTTACATTTTCTAATTTCGAAATAATGTTCGAATAAATTTTAAAGCTGTTAAAATTATCTCAAAATCGTGGAGATTCACAAAAATGTAATTTTTGTTCCCTTTTCTTACTTTTTCCAATTTCGAACAAACAAATTTTGAAACGAATTTGCAGTACGAATAATTTGATTGTGTTCCATTCGACGAATTTACGCAACGAATTTTTGTCGACTAGTTCGTCGTGCTATACGAAATTCGTCGTTCGTCCCAATTGTGCGTATACCATAAGTCCGCATTTCATTTCAAACATCTTACAGGTATAGTTGGCGACCGTGGCCTTCTTGACTCTGTGCTGGAAGTTGAGTTTCCATGATAATTTGGAGTCAAGAACAATTCCTAGATATTTGGCATTGTTTGATAAGAGGATTTCGCAGTTTTTTAATCGAGGCAAGTTGATGCTTGGAATCTTGGTCTTTGTTGTGAATAGTACCAGTTCTGTCTTACTTGGATTTACTCCTAGACCACTGTCTGTGGCCCAGTTACTGAGTAGCACCAAAGCACTAGACATAATCGCTAATCACGTCTGGAAACATTCCTTATACCAGTATCACAACATCGTCCGCATAAGCAACAACCTTTATCCCTCAGTTATCCAGTCCCATAAGAATCGAGTTAACAACGATGAGCTAAAGTAGTGGAGAGATTACGCCGCCCTGTGGTGGGCCTCGTTCCACTTGTTTGGACTTAACGCTATTACCAAGAATTGCAGTAACTATTCTCGATTTCAACATAGTTACTAACCAGTTGCTGATATGCTCCTCAACATCTAGATTAGCAAGAGCTTAATGAAATGCAGAAGTATTTACGCTATTGAAGGCACCTTCTATGTCAAAGAAGGCTCCCATAGTATATTGAACTGTACCGAATACTAATGAATATTTTGGCTGAATTTTATTAATTTTCATTGCTGCGTTTTAACGTGAGTGTGTTTTAAATATAAATTAAATAAAATAATTTTAAAAATGGGGATTTTTGGGGACTTCCAGCCTAAGATTTGTGACATAAATCAAAATTTTTCTGGCAACACTGTTGAGAACATTATTATGTTATATTGCGCCATCTATGTTTTATTAAAAAAATAGATTTCTATATTTGATTTTCACTTGCATTAGCCACTTCTTAAACCGGAAGATAAATAGTTAATTTTCCACCACAAGTGATTACAACGAAAACTGAAATGTTAATGATGCTAAAGACTTGCATATTTTAGGGCACATATAAATGTTACTATTCACCTCAGGTATAATAAAACTATGGGGTTGTTGAGGACAGTTGATGACGTCATTGTGTTTAATATACATATTCTTAAAAAAATATTTTAAATATTTCAATTAAATAAAATTCAAGAAAATTAAATTAATTAAAATAATGTAAAACAATTTATTACTTATTTATAGATTTCGAATTTGACCCAAGAGGTGAATTTTGCAGAAACAGGGTGTTTATAAATTTTCAACATGTTAATAATTTTTGGTAATACGCACACTCAAGCAAATTTTTGACATAAAATCCTGCAACAAAACGTCAAAGGCAAAGCTTTATTCCTTGTAAAACACAAACACACCTACACTTGAATGAAGACACATTTATTCTCTACTCCTAGTTACCCTTAGCTGTGGTTATACCAGCAAATCAGTTTTAACTCATTTGTCTTATAAAACACTTGCCTCTCCCTAGTAACGTAAAAAAGTGTTAATTACATTAATAAATTTAATGTAAAAGTAGCAGAAAAGAAAGAAAATAAAATAAATTAAAAGCAAATAAAATACAAATAAAAATTAATTTGAAAAATCACTTGATTGATTTATATTTTATTTTGAATTGATATAAAAAAATTTACAAGAAAAAAAAATACAAGAGGTGTGAAAATAAGGAAATTTGTGAAAAAAATCCATTACTTACGTGTATATGAAATAGAAAAAATACAAGAATAGTGAAAAATTTAGTGAGAGCAAGAAAAAAATCGAATATGTCGAAATGTCTGAAAATCGAAAATGTATATTAAAGTGTTTTTGAAAAAAATGTAAGTGCTGGTCTATTATGAAATAGAGAAAATAAATTCATTTTAATTATAATTATGAAAAGTTGAAAAAAAAAACAAGAAAAAAAAGTTATAATAGAATGAAATTTTTCATAAACAAATGCCAATTGAAACAGTGAATTGCTGCTAAATATGCACATACGAAATACTCGTACATCGTACATACTACATATACTTTTCAACATATCGATTTTCAACCAAACCAACACAGAGCAGCAGGAAAAGAACCAAAAAAAAAAAAAATAATAGAAAATATTTCTTAGGTGTGTGTGTGTGTGTAAAAACTCATCATGGACAACAACAAACATAGGTACTCAACACTAGAATCAGAGCCGCCATGGAATAAAAAAAGCCCCAACATAAAATACGGACCATCAACGTAATCGTCGTCATCATCATCATTGCCATCAGTTTTGTTTGCTGTTGTACTATAGATGTTGATTTTATTTGTTCCATACAACCAAACAAACAGACCGACAAACAGTCAACCAAACATCTAACAATCAAATATTGAGTTGGTTTTAATTCAGTCAACTAAATTAAACAAAAAAGACAAGAGAACTGAACTAAACAAACTCACATCCCTTCATACATACCTAAAAACATACATACATACGTTTGCATTATATAAATAATGTAAAATATTCAAACACTCTTACGTACATATAACAAAGAATTTAATTATTATTGTAGTTAGAGCCAAAGTAGTAGTAAAAGAAGAAGAAAATACAAAAAGCCCAGCAATAATAATAATAATAATGAGGAAAAAAACTGTAGTGAATTAAATTGAATATGGCGGATGTAAATAGTAGTGCAGGAAGTAAAATAGTCACGAGACTTTTTTTTTCAATGCAGGGTTGTATTCCATTGTTTGTGTGTTTATAGTTTCATATTTAATTGCTTAAAAAATAATCATAAAATGTAATGAATCCCATTAATTGCCAGTAAATGTGTACATATTTGAATAGGTCAAAAACCCTTGGAAATGAATAGCTTATTTAAAATTGGTTTATTTTTAAATGTCAACTTAATTGTTAGTTCGGACGGACTAAAAAAACATGTTAAAAGTAATTAAATAATTGTTATTTTATTCCATTGAACAGCTATAGCAGCTGTGTTTTAAACTTGTTTTATTTTATTTCTTATAAAGGGGGAGAGTGGAGCTTGGGGTGGTTAAGCATTACAGACAAATGTCAAAAACAACCCCTCCATGTGATTGTCAATGTTTCTTTTTTTAGTTTTTTTCTTTTTAAATCGCCCATTGGGTGTGTTTTGTCCTTTACTTTATGCTATCATGTGTGCATGTGTGTCTGTGCACACAAGTTAGTTTCCGCATTTTGTGCTTTTTTACTGTTATTCACTTCTCATTTAAATTTTACTAGACAACAATTACTGTTGTTTTCATTGTACACTCATTCTCTTTTTTTCTCTCTATGTCTGTTGTAATTCTCATATACTCTTTTCAGTTGCTTTTTTTCATTCTCCGAGTGTGGTGAATTTTGAAATTGTCTTTAATTTAACTTAAACGACTCCCGCCTTAAATCTTATGGAATAAATATAAAAATACACAAGACATTAAAAACATTCCTACGCGTTTCATTATCCATCCCTTCTTCCATTCATATTGAATTTTCACTCTCCCACATACCCATACTTTTAACTTGTGTATATTATACTTATATATTTGTTCCATATTCCCAAAAGTATAAAAATAGATTCGATTCATATTTTGAACAAACAAACAGACATACAATTCAATTAAATACACCTGTATTTTACTTTCTTCAACTCATTTGAAATTGTTACTTACTTTCCTAACTGGCATTGAAAGTTTTTTGTATTTACATTAAATAATTGTTGGAATATGAAATTTATGGCAATTAATTCAAACATTTATTATTCCTTGTTTCTGATATGGTACTTAAGATTGTAATGTTATAGATAAGAATATTTGAAAATCAAGCAGAAATACATACATACATACATACATACATACATATTATGTATGTTAATTTTATTTTAAAATATATCTCATATTTTTGTTATATGCATGTATTCTCTTATCCAAGAGTTGTTATTTGATCATATTAAATGTATTCAAGTGCTCTTATTTTTTTTGGCAAACATTCAAAGAACAAACAATCTCTGTAAGAACTTGAATTAATGGTTGCAACAAATAATTTTTGTTTTCTACACTACCATAGCTCAGTGCCAGATTTTCCCAATCCCAAAAGTTGTTCAATTTTTACGATTTTTATACCCTATACCACTTTAGTGGGGAGGGTATATTGTATTTGTGCTGACATTTGTAATACATAGAATTAATGGTCCTATACCAACTTTAGGTATACCAATTGAATACTATACTCAGAATAATTTTCTAAGTCATGTCCGTCCGACTGTACATGTAAAATTTTTTATCAAACGACAGATCGCAATTTTGAAGATATTTCTATGAAAATTGGCACACATATTACTTTTGACCCAAGGACGAACCCTATTGATTTTGATTGACATCAATAGATTATTCCACCTAGCCCCCTTACAACCGGACCCTCTGAATTCGGGGCTAATAATTAAGCCAGACATACTTATATCTCTCCAAAAATAGGCACAACTACGTTTTATATTTATAAGCTTAAATGATACTGAAAATTTCACAATGATCGGCCCATTTTTGGCCCTAGCCACTGTGACCAGGTCTCAAAAAATGTTGCGGCTAAATCCCATCCAAAATAATGCTAGAAAAAATGCTAAATTGATTTTAAAATGCCAAAAAAATGCTAAAATTTTTTAAGTGTTTTCATGAACAATTCATAGTAATTTGTAACTGAAATTCATTGTAATTTATAACAAGTAAGAAAGTATATTCTGCCGTGGTTGACCATATGAGTATAAAATTCGATTTATTTTTCTTAATAAAGCATTTATGTTGAATTGAACCTTGGTTGCGATATATTTAAACTAATTTTCTGAGAAAGGCTTTATACATTTGTATATGTATGGGGGCTAGGTAAAATAAAGGACGGACTTTAACCATTTTTTAAAGGTTTTATCATTGGACCAAAAAGCATACGTGCTTATTGTTTAGAAAATTTCAGATTCAGAAAATGATTCTTAACCGATTAGTATACTTAAACGTAGTATAGTGGAGTAGGGTAAAAAATTAAGTTCCGTGGAAATGCTAAAAATTATTTCAAAATTTTTGTAAATTTAGCAATATGTAATGTCTCTAACTTTAAAATATTTCTGAATGCAAAAATTACATTAAAACTCTATTAATTACACTAGTTGCTCATGGTATAAAACCTATATGTGTTTTCGGAAGGAAAAGTATAATATTTCTAGTTTTACTTTTTTTATATAAACAATTTTATTTGTCTTCCTCAAAACACTTTAAAAATGGTTTTCATGTCACAAAAATATTGAAAATTCCGTTGAAATAATTTTAAATCTCGGTGAATAGATGTCAGGTTTATAACTCATACTTCCAAGATTTTTTCGGAAAAATATATATGAGAATGTATGAAATGAATTGAGAGATATATTCAAATCCGTAAGTTTGTAATTCTGGAATAAATTGTCAATAATATTTTCGAAATTTATGTATTTTTTTTTTAATTAAAAAAAAACATGACAACAAAATTACTAAAAATTTGGTAAAAATAAAAAGAACAGAAAGTAGGATGAGAAAGTCTTAATTATATATTATTGATTTTTTCTAATACTTATTTTCAATAAATTAACAAGAACTCCTGAAGGATGATAAAAATTAAAACCTCTTTATTTCGTATAGGAAAAAATAAAATTTGTTAATTAACCATCATACATAGCCTTTTCCAAAATTATATGTTTCATTCCATGAGCAAACTAAAAGTATTAGTTTGTATAATAGCGTACTGAACGTATTTGTAAAAATGTATGAAATCTCTTGAATTATTTCTATCACCTCGAATTTAGCATTGGAAATGAGCATTGGGTTCCAGAAAAATATTTTAGAATACAACATTTTAAAGTATTCACTTGTATTGGCGTAATTTTAAGTTATTTATCTTCATGAATCTTTTTGCATTATTTCGAATTACAGTGTAAATTATTACATTTCTCATATTTCTTGTTGCTTGTGTTTGGGTAGACATTTAATTCTGATTTTTCCTGTTAAACCTATTTCCAATATAAAGCTTTTTTGCAAAAATTTGTCTTTTTTTTTGTTTATATACTAAAATTGCAAAAAAAGCTAAAAATGCTAAAAATATTTTATAAAAATGCTAAATAAAATGCCAAATGCTAAATTAAAATTTTACAGCTAAATCAAAATAAAAAATGCTAAATCTAGCTGCAAAAATGCCAAAATGGTCACACTGGCCCTAGCCCCATACAAAGCCACCCTTTGAAAATGGTTTGAACGTCGTTAATTCCCTTATAAACATATGGTCGGCTATGCCCGACTATACATTCTTACTTGTTATATGTGTATGTGATCTAAGACTTCCAGTAGCATGGATACTTCAGAAAAAATGCGATAAAATGTTTGCTCGTGAAAGAATTTTACTCCTAAGTTCCTCTTACAAAATTGAATTTGTCTACTTACTAATAGAGGGCAAATAAATAAGTAACTCCTATTTGGAATAAGATGTTTACACAATTTAAATTGCTTATAATAGTATATTAAGTAAGGATTAGAAATTACAAAATCTTTATGAAAAATATTTTTTTTTCAAGTAATATTTATCTAATATGTTTTATAACACTAATAGTTGTATAATTCATAAGTGAATCTTTCAATTGCAAACTGTATACACTGGCGGTATGCATTGACATCAAAGGCGCTTTTAATAACGTGCACTGATACTCTTATTAAATCCCTAGACCAGTTTTATGTAGATCAGGTGCTCCATAACTGGATTAACTACATGCTAAGGAACAGGTGGATGAGCTGCGAGATGTACGATATTACTATCAGGAAAAAGGTATTTCGCATT